ATGAAACAAAAAAAAAAAAAAAAAAGATGATCTTGAGTGATATTAAAGAAAATATATTCAAGATGGATATATTCCTGAGTCATATGTCTTCTTATTTTCATTTATTTGTTCTTGCAGTAGTGGGAATTGAACCCAGGGCCCTTGTGCTGAGCTGCACTCAGCGCTTGTAATTTTTTTGAAACAGGATCTCACTGAGTTGTGCAGGCTGCAATGGAACCTATGACACTTCTGCCTCAGCCTCCCACAGGGCTGTGCAGCCCAGACCGGCCTCAGACTTGCAATGCTCCCGTCTCAGCCTCCACTGGGATTACGAGTCACACGCCACCCCACCTGGCTGTATCTGTGATTCTATCACTAGAAAGCCATCACCTAGGTTAGGCACAGCCTTCTTTCCTTGAATACATTAGCATTTCTTTTCATTTCAAAATAGTTTTCAGGTCACATGGTACTAAAAGGCACACAGAGCAATGAGCATCTGCCTGCCTCAACCCTTCAGCTCCTGTCTCCTTCCCTGGACATCTTCTGCCCTTTGGCCTTCATCTTCTGAAAGTTCCATGGATATTTCTAAGTAATACAGTCAGACTGCATTTGTATGTGTGGTTTTTAGGCCTCTCTATGGATTCCTTGTTTTGAGACGAGACCTGGCTCCATTCTATCCCCTGCCCTGTCCCTGACTCAGTGGGACCAATGGATTTGTCCTGCGTGGGGTGAACCGTGGGTGCTGCTCTGTCTGGTTAAAGCAGAGGGTGCCAGGTGGAAACAGCTTTCGCATTGAGTTGTCCAGGCAGTGTCGGGGTCCCGCAGCTGGGGGGTGGCAGGGGCAGGGACACTTGCCTCTCTGGGCTGCTGTGAGATCGGGCAGCGGCCCCTCCACGCCCAGGGCTGTGTGCTAGGTAACTTCAGCCTTACACCCACAGACTGAGTACAGCACCTCATTCGCTCTGTCGTCCGTGACCTAGAGGCCCAGTCCCCGGCTCTTTGGTGAGGATCCTTGCTGTCTGATGTGTCTTTGGACTCACAAGGAACCGGGCTCTGCGTTCTCCTCTCGCCATGGTTAGCCACGGTGGCCAGCGTCGTCTGCAGGAGGCCGCAGCTCGTGGTCAGCAGGCTCTGCCGCAGGCTCTACCCACTCCCCTTACCAGACATCCTCTGCCAGCCAGGATGGGCACAGTGGGGCCCGGGAGAAGCAGGGAAGGACACAGGGGAAGGAGCTTCCGTAAAGAAATAATGGCAGGAAACTTCCCACTTCGAGACGTGGAAGTGTACACCCAGACGCGAAAGTCCCGCAGAACCCAGCATGGACCAAATATGAAGAAATCTCCACCGAGAAACACTCTAATCAGAGTCTCAGAAGTCAAAGACAAGAGAGAAACTTTGAAAGCAGCATGAGAAGAGCAACTGTGCCTTTTAGGCAGCCCCACTGGGCTCTCAGCACATTTCTCAGGAGGAAGCCAAGGCCTGGAAGGAGTGGAAGAGAAGTGCTGAAGGGAAAGCTCTCAGATCCAGCCTGCACTCGGCAAGGACAGCCTGAGATGGGGCAAATAAACTGCGGAACCACTAGACTGAGATTCCTGGAGCCCTTCAAGTTGGAATAAAAAGATGATAAAACAGAAAAGCATGGAGAGGTATCAGTCTTCGTAAAAGTAAGAGTACAGTCAAATACTCAGTCAAAAATACTCTAGTACTGTAAAGGCGGTAGGTAAAGCAATTTCCCCTAGTATAGAAGCTAAAAGTATTAAAACATAATGAGCTAGCTGGGTGTGGTGGCGCACCTCTGTACTCTCAGCACTCGGGAGGCTGAGGCAGAAGGACCACTGTGAGTTTGAGACCAGCCTGGGCTACATGCTGAGTTCCAGGTCAGTCTCAACTACATAGTGAGACCCTGTCTCAAAAAAACAAAACAAAACAAACAAACAAAAAAAAACCCAAAAACAAAAAAATAAAACCATAATGAGCTACAACAATGTTTTAATGGAATACAGTATATAAAAGATGTAATGGGGCATTGATGACAAAATGTGGGTGAGGAAGTAGTTAAAAGTGTAGAGTTTTTGAATACTATAAAAGTTATATTTTTATTAGCTTAAAATAGACAGTTGTAAGGTGTATATGTCTCCCAAAAAAATTATCACGTAAGAACAGCACTTAGTACTAAGTCCTTATATATCCATAATTACTTTAACTATAAATGAATCAAATTCTCCAGTCAAAAGATGTCAGTGAGCCGTAGTAGCACATGCCTGCAATTTCAACATTCTGGGAGGCTGAGGCAGAAGAATCTCAAACTCAAACCCAGCCTGGGCAGCTTAGTGACTTAGTGAGAATCTGTCTCATAATAAAAATTAAAAATGGGCGGAGGATATAGCTCTGTGGGAAGGTACTCTGTTCAATCATCAGTACTAGAGAAAACAAAGACATAGTGGCTGAATAGATTTTAAAAACAGAACAAGACCCAGCCATATGCTGCTTACAGGAGACTCAGACCGAAAGTAAAGGCATAGAAAGAGGAATATTCCATGCAAATGGCAAAGGAGAATCAGAGTGGCTGTCCTTGTATCAGAAAAAAACACAGCCTTTAAGTCAGAAACTGTCACAAGATGTCACTTGTCTTTTTAAATTCAACTTCCACGTTCATCTTTCTTTGTTCAATAAAAATTTTAATGTCAAAAACTCTGATCACTAAAGAAAATGAAAAGGCAGTGAATTCATCAAGAGGGTATAACAAGTGTAGACATGTGTATGCTCAGCATCAGTCAGTGTTCCAAAATATAGAAAGCAAATATTAACACAAGTTTTTAAGGGAAACATAGATAGCAGCCTAGTAATAACCAAACTTCCTGAGTTCGATCCCCAGTACAGGAAAGAAAAAGATAATAATAGCCAGAATTACCACAGTGGCTGGGTCACCCAGACAGACAGTGCTGACGTGACCCGAAGGATGGCCCTAATGACTCCCACAGGACAGTCCACGCACAGAGAGGTATTTATTCTTTGTCCTCCAGGACAGACGTCTGTCAGGCCCAAAGCACACCCAGACCACCTTAGGAGACTGGAATCCAAGCAGCGCATCTTTTTTTTGGTACCGGGAATTGAACTCGGGTCTTTGCACTTGCAAGGCAGGCCACCAAATCGCTGAGCTAAATCCCTGGCCTTCAGCGCATCTTTTCTGGTCACAGTACGGTGAAACAAAAGCCAGCAACAGGCGGAAATGTGGGGCTTAAACACACTCCTAATAACCAGTGGGTCAATGAAATCGGAAAATGTGTGGAGACCCACAGAAGGGCAAGTACCACACACCCAGATGTGGGACACAGACCGGGGGGCACTAGCATGAGTGTGTAAGTGTGCACAGAGCCTCACCTGCCACCCCAGCCCTACTCTTCCCCAGGGTGCTGTGCAAACATAGTCATTTTCATGACTGGGAAAAGGTGAAAAAGCCCAGATGCTGCCCTGTGTCACTGCGTCCACCAGCTCGCCTGGCGTGCACAGGGGACATCTCAGAGTAAGGAGGACGGAGTGCAGGAAGGTTTCTGAGCTGGCAAAGCAGGGTTCCAGATGGGTCCAGAGCCTGCGCTCACCACGGGGGTGGGGGTGGGGGCGGGAGTCAGGAAGGGAGATGGGGAACCAGAGTACAGAAAGTCCATGGGGGGGGTGCCGAGGCTGGTCCTGAGGCTCTGGGCGTGAGGAGTCTTTGCAAAAGTGGCTCCAGCCCCTAGTGGGGTCCCGAGCTTCTCAGGAGTTGGGTCTCCTTGTTGCACGGGGGAGGGGGGTCCTTGAAGTTTTTTGTTTGGTTTGGTTTTGGTGGCACTGAGGATTGAAGCCAGGGCCTTCACACTGAACTAAATCTCCAGCCTTTTAAAAATCTTTTTTTTAAATTTTGAGATAGGATCTCACTAAGTTGCCCAGGCTGGACTTAAACCTGTCACCCTCCCGCCTCCGCCACCCAGAATGCTGGGATGACAGATGTGCCCTGCCACATCTGCGATGAAAGTTGTTTTCGGGGTGACGAGTTCCCGTTTTGCTCTGGAAGGGACGTTTGAAGCAGCTGAAAAGGTAGCTTTCAGGGCGCACAATCTTAGGGTCAGCGAAGCCTGAGCAGAGCGGGAGCCACAGTAGCCTGGCTAGGCTCTCAGCAGAGTGAATGTGACCCCGAGGCTTCCGGTGGCCGAGTCGCGCGTGGACCGCAAGCAGCTCAGCTTGGGTTCAAGGCGCGCTGGGCTTGAAGGTGCTGGGATCCGGCCCGACAGGAGCGCTGGGGGCAGAACAGGCACCCGGGAAGCTGAGCGGCCTTCTCCGCCCTGCCGGGAGAGGGGTAGCCTGGCTAGGCTCTCAGCAGAGTGAATGTGACCCCGAGGCTTCCGGTGGCCGAGTCGCGCGTGGACCGCAAGCAGCTCAGCTTGGGTTCAAGGCGCGCTGGGCTTGAAGGTGCTGGGATCCGGCCCGACAGGAGCGCTGGGGGCAGAACAGGCACCCGGGAAGCTGAGCGGCCTTCTCCGCCCTGCCGGGAGAGGGGGCCTCCGGCCGGCGAGCGCCGGGCTTCGTCCTCACCGGGTGTCTCCAGCCAGCCTTGCCAGGCATCTTCCTGGGAAGTTTCACCCGGTTTCACTTTATCCTCTGGGAGCAGGGGGCCGGGTTCGGATGCCCCGAGGAGACAATCAAGCCTTGCCCAGGGCTGGCCTTTCCGTGAGTGGGGGTGGGAGGGCGCCGTGGGCCCCGGGTGCGGCGCAGGTGGCTGCTGAGCGCCGGCCTTGCTCGGCTGGGTGCTGGTT